TTGAACCTATCAATCAATCACATGGACTGAACCGCATAAACTTGCTGTGCTGTATAGAATCACGTTGGAGAATTGAATGGAACCCAATCTACTGGGTATGCACAACATAGGCTACAATCATGTGTATAAATGCTTTTGTCATTGATTCAAACAAGGAGGCAAACCACCAAGCCAAAAAAATGCCAGTTGAAGGGATGTCATTCAATGTGCTTCATCTGCCTCATGAAATGGAAGATCTCGGCTAGATCTGCACTTATAGTTTAGATTCGAGGTGGCAGCAAGTGTGTAGGTTCGAGAACCCACCCACCTAGCATCAGGTCGGTCTGACCTAGTGCCAGGTGGCAGCAAGTCCTTTCACACCAAGCATCATCTGAGCAGACATGACGCCAAAGCGGGTTGGAATGCCAAACATGAATCCATCATACTCCTTAGATTCATTGGCACAAAGGCGCCAAAACGCCAACAAAAACTCCTGTCGTAGTCGTCGTAGTTCAAACACTGTGGACCACAGTGGGTGAGTCGTGGCAGGCCAAGGCCAAGGCGAAGGTTTCAGCGCCGGCCCGTGAAGCCCCAGGAGCCCCTCATGTGGCCCAAGGAACCCACGGTCGGCCCACAGGTTAAGCCACCTGGTAAAGGAGCCCCCTTCGATTCCCAAAACACTTAAAAGGGGGTTCTATCATGCTCCATCTCTGTCTGTAAGCTGGTCATTTCTGCATCTTTAGGCAATAAACAATTATTAAACACATACAAAAACACTGTAAAACAATTAAACACAACTTCTCTGTCCTATCTGTTTGCTTTTCGCTCAAGTGTCTTCTAAGCCCCCGAAAACGATTTTCTCACTTCGAGTAACATTGAGCTTTCCGACCATCTCGAAGTCCAACGTGGGGATGTCCGCATTCTTTGGTGGAGCACCCATCTTCGCGAGAACCTGTTTTAGGCAGAAAATACATTTCCAATACCCTTCAATATATGATATTATCAAAAACGTTATACAATAAAATACAATATATCAATATGCACATCAAATTCATCACTGCATGAACATCAATTCAATGCCTTCTCAGGGGGATTCCGAAAGCAGCGATTCAATATGGCCACGTGCGATTTCATCTCAAAACCCACCGCTCTCTGCGACCACGGTGGGTTCTTCGACTGTGGTGACCCGGGCGATTTCAGCAACCCGTTCTCGATCGTATCAAAACCCACCCGCCTCATCCTCGAGGGTTTCTGGCACCTGGAACAAGTCCACTGAGACGCCTCCCTTCTCCAAGCCTGGAACCGCCGTGTGGATTGGTGCATCGATGAAGGTGGACTGGAGAAGCTGAGAAGTTCTGAGGGTAGATGTGTGCAATTACAATCGTCCTCTGAACCTACTGTGCCATTCATCCACTTGGTTGAAATCAGCAACACAACCCCCTGGATCTAGTCCAGATAGTAGTGCGCACGTTCCTTTATGTTCAACTTCTCATTCAACTTAAGTTCTTATATAAATCCCAATGACTCGCAAATCCAAGGCGGTGCCTTGAAACCACGCAACCAGTTGTCTGAGTCGCTTTGTCCATATTTGTCCCGTTTTTGGTGGAGCTGCTTATTTGTTGGACCAACAGCAATCAGCCAGTCCCTTTGCCCAACCCTGAAAGTCCTGGATTGCTGGACAAAAAAATGATCCATCAGGATTAGGATCCACTGTCTCTTTTTGTTGGGCTCTCAACAAGAGGTTGTGGCGTCAAACATGGGTTTGACTACAGGCTGTCCTCCAATCACTACAGGCTGCCCGAACCATACCAATCTCTGATTCGTTCAAAAAGCGCTCAGGATGGGCCTTTCTGGATCTCCTGAACCACGACAGTGACCAAGGGCCCACTGTCGACCGGGTGGTCTGGGGGTGGTCTGGGTTTTTACAAGCCTCGACCGGTCCTTAAATGTCAAACCCCTATGAAATACTATGAACAGTGCCATGACACGTCTTAGTTTCAGGCAAGGCGTTTTGCATTTTGTGTATATATGCATCCTGGTTTCATCTGTGCAGCATTCTGCCGCACCTGATGCAATATGTGGCTTTGTGATAAGTGAAGTGTAACAAAGTGCGGAGAAGGGTCCTACATGCCTACATGGCTACTCAACCGCCCCCGGAACACACGAACCAAACGGAACAGCTGTCTCAGCTATAAAATACAATGGACCACATCATTGGGCAAACTACGAATAACTGGTACTGTTAATATAACTGTTTAACAACATAGGGTGTGAAAAACAACATGCACTTCAACTTCAGGTGTAAGCTTCCCTTGATAGCTTACGTTGTTTTGATGGTTTGGCGTTTTGATTTTATTGTCTTCCGATGGAAGCACATTGAAAGCACAGTTGGTCGTACTATGTCGCACCAGCGCGCGTGACCGACTCGTCGTCTCCTTTGCCATGCCCTCGATGTGGCCGTACATCGAGTAGTAGATAATCCTGGCCATCTACTTGGGTTTCCTTTTCAAATCCATTAACATCGATGTTTCCTTTGCCCCAATGCCCCGCCTAGTGAGGACACATCGCTAGATTCTAGATGGCAAATGGCGAACCATCCTTCATCGTGAGCAGGTTGCTTGACTGAATTCATACGCTCCTATCCTATCCATAACCAGCGCTGAACCATCAACCTGTGGAAAATCTTTGCAAACTGATTGTGGGGTTCAGAGACATGCAAACCATAGCCGTATGTGTCTCTGTGGGGTCAAGCCAGCCTGGAGCGTGTCTACATAATTCTACATCTATCAGGAGTTCTTGCACCCCCTGGAAGATACAGCAGGGAGGCAGGTCGGGTCTAGACCAATGTCAAGACTTGTCATCTCCCGTGGTCCTTCGAAAGGTCACCGGTGTATCATTGGTCGCCTCGACCTCTGCCGGCCCAATTTATGTTCTTTTCAGAACTTACAAAGATGCTTGTCGGCAGTACTGGGCAGCAGGGCCACAACTCGTTCACTCCAGGGACTTCAGCTGAGCTTCGCCACCGAGGTGCCCGTGGCTTTCCTCGGGACCGACGGCAGATCGGCATATTCCCCCGAAAGCAGTGTTGGGCATCTAATTCATGGTCACTCTAAGAAGTCGAGTGAATAGAGTGTATACTACAATGGATACCTCGAAAAATAACACTGACATCTTCCCAAGCTCCTGTGAGTGGCGATGCTCTTTGATGTAAGAACGGATGATGTATGTTCGAAACTTGTCCTAGACACTGGAAGAAAAACACAACAACCCAAAGAGTGTGTCACAAGAAAAACAACAATATTATACAAATTGATACAATATGTATATATAGGCAGGACAAAAAGTTGGTGACAAGCCAAGCCGGACCAAGCCTGTAAATACATGACCTACTGGAATTCCGGCGGATGAATTTCCACCCCAAAGTACATGTAGATCTAGTAACTTAGTTCGGGGTGCAAATGAATCCGCCGGATTTTCATTGGGAAAAATAGTCATGTCAGTCAGTGAGATTCTCGAGTGCAATTGTTACCAAACCTTTTTTCTCCTGAAGTACCAGTATTATTATTATGTATTAATTCTAGTTAATTCTATGACTTGTGTATAATTTGTGCACTCTTCAATCGTGTAAATCTCGTCCTGTCCTCCGAAAAAGAATCAAACGACCAAGTCTCGGGCGGTGCTGAATTTTGGGGTCAAAAAGAAAGACCAAAGCCAAATATCCCGTGGGGGAAGTCTGGTAAGTCTCATGATTGTTTATATTATTTTCATATTCTGTCTATGTGAACATGGATGAGTCAGCTTCCCTGTCGAAGCATTCCATGATGAATCATTCACCACAATACCAGTTGCCATGTGCCCTGTCGGAGGGACCGAGGCTCTTCTCAGCTTTCGCTCCGCCCTTCTTCGCCAGATGAGCCTTGACCTTCATCTTCTTCTCTTCCGGCATGTCTGGGCAGGTCGCACGGGACGTGAGCACTCGGGTCGGCCGGTGAGACGGGGAAACGACCTCGTCCATCGGCTGATGAGGCTGACGATGCAAACACACCTATATGACGTTGGCACATGACGTTCAGCGAGTGATGGCATGTCAAGTTGATGTGAACTGGCGGAGCAAGAGGCATCGAGAGCGGAGAGCGGTACATCGGGCTGAAGTCCAATGGCCATCCGCCAAGAATCTCGAAACATTTCGCACCGGATGTCAGAATACGAATACCAAACACATCACCTCTGAAAGGATCATCGATATGAATCGTGAGAGAACAAGCACGTGTATGATCATTCACCGGGAGTTTTCCCTTTTGCCCGGCCACATCACTAAACAGGAGGTTTACCTCATGCCAAGTCTCTATCCATGGCTTTCTGCAAATCCTCGTCAGTGACATTCTTTGCCTTGGCGTGGCCAGACTGGGACAGGCCAGGGCCCAAAACACTGTGACCGACCGAATGCCGGACCTCTCCGTGTGACTGACCAGCTGATCTGCGATCTCATTGGGGACGGTGAATCAATAGAGGTGGGTCGAGGGCATCTTCGATTCAATTAGCTCTTCCACTTTGCATGAGATGGTAATGACACGTGGATACATGGGGTCTATCCTCCTATTACCAGGGCCCAGTGGATGATGATGGTTCAGTTGCAGGTCTTGTTCATGTTTACTAATTGTTTACAGGTCCTGTTACAGGTTTAAGCTCGGACAGACCCAGTGGATACATTCCTGGTGATGACATCCATTTCGCCCAATGCACCACTTCAGCAGCATCGGCAGAAGCACCGGCTCCCATGGCTTCGAATAGAGTAGAAGCGCTGGTGTGACACAAACTCAGGGCTAGTCTTCGAGCAGCTGGAGCGCATGGAGAGTTTTCCCTCAGTATGCCATTCTGCATGCCATGAAATTATTCATGGATCTTTATAGATACAGCTCACACAAGACAATTGCTCATCTAGGACTTGCGGATCCAGCGGTGGCCCCCGCCTTCCCCAGACCACTACTCCTGGGTTCTCAAACTGTGAAATAGATTTGCGCCTCTTCTCATCGAATCGCCAGCCAATCTTCATATCGATCCCTGAAAGCTATGAAAACGACGTCTCAGTGAGAGGGAGTGAACTGGCTGTGCCAACAAGATCTGTAAACTGTACCTCTGCACGGAGGCCTTGGAACATGAAAACATCCAGGGGATGTTAAAATGACTCGTCTCCTAGGAAAGGGTATCGGTCTCAGGGGTGTTGACTAACGTTCGAAGCTGCCAATACTCTACCATCTGTGCAAAACGTTTGTTCGGGAGGCCTTTGTTTTTATTGGGTCTGGCAGGTCGTCCAATTTCTAAAACTCCCACAAACCAGACGGAACCCGTGCAATGGCACTTGCAACCATGCACAAAACCTCTGACTCGATGGACCCTTGGGCGCTTCTCAAAACCAGCAAAACAAGCCTCAAGCTGTCAACCCCCAATGAAACTACATGTTCATAGAAGAACAATAGAGTAGAGTGTGTATACATATATTTTGCTATTGCAAAACTATAAACAATGCAACCATAATGCATGTACACATTTGTCATGTTGTTTCCATGATTTTTTGGCATTAGATATACTACTATACATAACAATCTCATCGACCCATGTTGGTATCCATCAACCCCCCACGCCCCGAGAGCAGACCATGCACCTTGACGAATGGATGGACCGAGAACTTTCTTCAAGTCCAAAGTCCTTCCAATGGACAATGGATGATTCCGACTCAGTCTACCAATAGTCTCATTCTGATTCGCATGTCCTACCGTGGAAAAAAAAAAACTGAAGGCCCGACTCCTTGCGTGGAAACAGCGGGCACCCAAAAAACAAACCGAAAGGCATAAAGGGCTGGCACTGAAACACAACTCATAAATCAAAAGAAAGACAACATGAGTGTGTACAAATATAATATATGCATACAGCATACAGTATATCTTATCATGGCACCGCAGCAGCCCTGGTTAAGCCACTGAGATGGACAGAATCCCAAACGAGCCTTGTTTTTGGGGGGTGAGGCTTTTGACTCTGTTGGCGAACGAAGAGGAGCAGTCCTGTCAGACGAAGAACGGAGGTTGTATCGCTGTACCTCCAAAAAAAAAGTGGATGCCCAAGTCAACGATCACGCGAAAGTTCAACAACAAGATGGAACATGAAATCTTGAACTACGTGCAGCGGAAGTCGGATCAACAAATTGCTCTTTCTGCCTGATAAAGCAATGCAAGTCAATGTCCAGAGATACCTCAACCAGCATCACCGTGACTAAGAGAGTCAATGTTCGCTTAAGGGAGTCGGCATAAGTCCATAGTAAGCCTCCTTCCTGAAGTCCATAGTAAGTCCAAGACCCTGTAAGTCACAGCAAAGCACTGCAAGATTCACATCAAGGCCCCTGACCCTATTCACATCAAACTTCAACGCCTGTCTAGAGATGGATTGAAGATGATTGAAGTGTCTCTACTAGTGTCTCTCTATTTCTCTTAAATCGATTCCCTTCAGGACCCCCTTTTCCTCCCTTGCCGCCTTCATCTTCGCTCTCAAGGCACTGACGGCCTTGTGCAATGCGTGTGGCTCCAGAAGAGCCTGGCGAACCAAGGATTCATCTGTTCACCACACCGCAAGTGTGATGACATCCGAAAAGAGAACCAGTGCCTGGACGTACTCACTGAGCTCATCTGGTGCTGTCATGACCGAGTTGAATTCTGCGAAGTCTTTGTCTGTGATGAGAGCGAACGAATGGATGACCTTGGTAAAGAATCTTGGTCATGTTTTGCTAGCCAGCAATTTTGGGATTGCATAATATATAAGGTTGTATAGGCATACACGTCCACAGGACGCAGGATTGTCGTCGCAGCAAACAACAAATGTATGCTATGGCACTTACGATTGAAATCATTTTGCAAGATTAAACGCCTACCGCCTACCAATGTACATAGAATAATATAGGATATCATAGGTGGGATAATATGTAGATATAAAGAGAGAGAGAGAGAGATACATGATATTGATTTAGATATTACAAAATAACATATGTATATATATAATATGTATTACATTAGTTATATACAGTACATTCATTTATGACAAACAAATGAAGAGAAGAGATACAGGTAGGTAGGTAGATGGGTGGGTGGGTGGGTGGGTAGGTAGGTAGGTAGATAGGTGGATAAATAAATGGACACACACACAGAACAAATAAAACTGTTCTTTAAACAAAATCTACACATGGCACCCGTAGTTCTTCTCACAAAACAACCCAACTACTGCGAAGCCCGCATGCACCTGTGACACACCACGCCCGCTGGGACAACACTAGGCACCTGGCCCTGCTTGCCTGGGCAGCACACCGCTGGCACACTGACCACTGGGTCACCGCGAAGCAGCTCGTTTTGACACTTTTAACCACGGCAAAACAACCTGGGACACCAACTACACAAACTGCTGAAGTGAACGGACAAGGTGCAACCAACTGCAACCCGGGATATCCAATTCGGTGTACCAACGCTTCCCTGTATATTTAAAACCACACAGAAAGCTGAACAACGTCTGTTGAAAACATGATTTGACAATCATTATACAATGTCCACTCTTCCTTAGCAGCTAATTCGAATCTGATCATTGGTGGGTCTTGCTTTATGTTGTTTCCTTGTGGGCTTCCACTAGGAAAGGCCCAGTTTGAAAAAAAAATGCAATTAAAGTCCAAAATAAAAGGAACAAAAAAAGCACAAAAAAAGGGCTAGGTTGATGCAATCCAAAAACAAATGCACACCAAATTGCAAAAAATAGCTAGATTGATCCACTGCCGCAAAAAAGGAAGCGCGGACTCCTTCGTGCTCTCTTTCTCTCTCTCTCTCTCTCTCTTTCTTGCTTCTCTCTTTGCTTCTTGATTTTTCTTCTCTTCTCCTTCCTCCATCTTTGCGGACTAGAGGCCTAGCTTCCTAGCGCGGCCATCATAAACTCCTAGGTCCTAGACTCCATGTAGACGGCTCGGCGGCTAGGTCAATATATATATATATATATTTGGACCTAGGGGCATCCATTCTAGCGAGCGCATAATAACACTTTCTACCATTCAACTAGTGTTACCAAATCACGTTTAGGATTGCTTGGGCTCTTTTCATCCCGGTGGGTTAAGATTGAACAGCCAATTCTTCTGTTGGTAAGTGGTTGTCACCTTAGAGAGCTTGCACCTGGGGTTGCATCTTTTTTGCATTGTGTTAGGCAGTGTGTGTCTTGTTTGCATTTTTCCTTTGGGTCGGTTTTGCTTTCTTGTTCCTTTCTATTCAATTCTTTTTGAACTTAGAACAAACCCAAAAACACATCATAAGTCTTGCTGCCCTCAAGTCCAGATCCTGCGGGTCGGGTTTTAAGCGAGATGCGCTGCGTGGGTGCACACCAGCAACGCCTGGCAGCAAGAATCAGCTTGAGCTGTTTGGTTTCAACTCACTTGAAAATAAATATCTGAAACCACCACCCAGTGAGAATACTTGGTGACTTGGTTGTTCTTCTTGCTGCGTTGGGACGTTACCAAGCCTAACTCTCAAGTCAAACACACTCGCCCTGCCATGGTCGATCGACCTCTTCGCTTCGTCAAACGCGCACCGTCCGACTCTCCCGTGGCGCCTGAAACGCACCACCAACGGTCCAGCTTCGTGGGCACGGCGCCACCCCTCCGAAGCTCTTGGTAGAGGATCTGCCATTGGTGCGATGCGACTGGTGCGATGGTGAACTGCTGAATTTGGGTTCCGGCAGGGAGTTTGGGGGCAGTGCATTGATGGTTCATGTCCTCCTCATCTATATGGCGTGAAAGAAAAAACAACTTGTATGTGTGCTGTAGAATCATGTAGTCAGTTGCAGCGTACAAAGATGCCCACACCCAAAGAAAAAGAGCGAGCCAATGTGTGGGGCCACACAAACAAGGGCGATAGATTGTGATAGGCACAGTTTCCAGCTCTGGAAGGAGTTTGGAGTGTCTTTGACCTCTTAACTTTTGACAGTTGTATAAGACGTGATGCTGAGACCCACCGAAATCCACAACATGTTAGAGCCCACTTTAGCCGTAGCTGATTACTTTGGCCGGTTCTTCGTATCCTTTCTGCAGCACACCACTCCCAACGATTGAACCCCTACAGAGACAGCAAGCAAGAGATGTACGATCACCAGGTGTCAAGGAGGGAGCAAAAATAGCGGCACAGCCTTTCCATCCAAGTGACCTCTCTCAGTTTACAACTACGCAAAGCGTCGACTATGTCTACTTTTGAACTGTCACAACAATATGTTTCTGCTTCAGATTGGGATCCAAATGGCGTTTTTTTGGTGATCCTTTTGAGACATTGTTTTCAATGAACCAACTTTCAACATCTGTCTATAGATCAATGTTCCCGGACCGGTCGCAGGTCTCCTAACAACGGACACCTCCTCAAGCCCGTCGCTGCCGTAGAGCGTGGTCACCGTGGGCCGCGAGCGTCGCTGTGTCCCGCTGGGCCTGGGGGGGGGGTCGCGGCGAAAGGCGTTGGGTCCGAGACGGTGTACGTTTAAGGCAGTGACCCAGGCGTGCCAGGTGTTGTTTTTGTTTGTTTTCAACCAAGTGACCAAGTGTATATAAGAAATCGAATTATGCAGGTGCAACCAGTATGGTCAGCATGTGCACGGGTGCGCTTCTTATCGCTTCTTGGGTGTGGAATGTGCTCTTGTCTGAGCTATTGTTCTTCCTAGCACCAGTCAGTCGTCAGGGTTTAAATTAATCTGTCTTTGACAATTGAACCCAAGCACAAATCAACCTGTGGACAATGAACTAAGAGTAAAAACCGGATTCTGTGTGTTTTTCAATGGTGGGTGAAAACTTCAGTCAGTTCCTGCAGTGCTCTGGCTCTTCATCCCCTCAAATATGGATTGAACGAATCAAAGGCCGACTGTCTTATTCCATTACATGTCATCCGATTCTCACCATGTCAAAAAATCCCCAATAGAATTGAATTGAGATGAATTGAGAGATCCATTGGCCCACGATGTCCTCCATGCCCCTCCTGCGCTGCGCCGTGGGGCTGCGCTGCGCCACCTGCGCCGCGGCGGCCGCCGCGGCCGCCGCGCGGAGGCGGAAGTTGGCCGCGGTGGCCTCGGATGGCGGGGACGGGAACAACACAAAGCACGCATGGTGGGCACAACGCAAACACGGGGTTTCATGGATGTTCATTCATTGATCTGGACTTGGATTGTTTTATATGGTGTTTAGCTCCGCTCCATTTTTGCTGAATCTGGGGAAGAGAGAGTTGGAAGTTCCCAACAAGCCTCCGGTCTTTGGAAGTCGAGCCTTGTAAGTAAAAGGGATGCTCAAAGAGTGTGAGCATTCTCTGGACCTGAGGGATAAACAAACCATTCCAAAGGTGCAAACAGTGAAAAACAATGCAAACCTGTCCTTGGCCTGCTTAATGTCTTCTTGTGTCAGTTATATGAGAGTGCCTCTTCTGCCAAAAAACACTGGGTAGAACAACTGACAGCTATTGGAGGTTCAAAAGGTTTTTGAAGGTGGTGACTGGTGGGCCTCGTCCGTCAAGATTGCTAATCGAGCTAGCGCATACTGCATGCGCAAACAGTGTTTGTGCCTTGCAACAGCCGTGTACTGGAACATGCTATGTCTGCAGGTCAAATCCCCATCTTGCCGGTAAACCCACACAAGATGTCCGCAGAAAAGAATCAACTCCCAACGAATCTTGACCAGGCTTTTGAAGTTTAGTGACCCCAAAACATCGTCCAACATAACCTATATCTTTCCAAACTCAGCTGACCTTTGTAAAAACCACTCACCTCTCCGCACGAGCCCCGGCCTCAGCGGCGCTACTCTGAACTGCGCGCAGAAAGCTCGTGCGGAGCCTCTTTCCCAAGGTCTTACGCCGCGGTGGCGATCGGGGGGGCGCCGGCCGACCGGACGACAGGAATATGTCAGGAGGCGCCATGGAAAGGAAAACTGCGTCATGCTCCAGGCTCCAGGATACTCCAAAACGGTGTTTCAAGTCTTCGGAATTGATTCGGAACCTACAAAGAAGACTGGTGATTGGTGGTATCGAGCAACATCGTGGTGTTGTGTCAAGTTCGTTTGATGACGTGTTTTGATAGAAGTTGATGGTGATATTTCCTCCGGTCACCAGTCGTGTGTCCTGTCCATGGAAAACAATCAAGCGTGGCTCCCCACAAATATGTACAGACTTGTCCGGCAGTTCCTTACAAAGCTTGTTCAAAAAGGCTCGAGTCCAATTGCCATCAGTTCTCCCAAGTTTGCCTGCTGTTTAGGGTCATCAGTACTCCTTGTTGATCCTTTTGAAGCGTCCTGATTAGCTACAACATCTCCCTAATGGGCCCCAATAGAATGAAGGCTAAGAACCGTAAACAAGAATACAAAGTATATGTTTTTGTAGATTATTTATTTATATATATATATTACTCCGGGCAAGAACAACATAGACCAGAACTCAATTTCAAGTGCGCTTTAACATGGACCACTGGAAGCGGTGACTTCCTGGGAAACGGTATTAGCACTTTTTGGGGGCAATTTCTGGACACTCATTAACATGGACCGTTCCCACTCTCAGTCCATGATCGATTTTGACACTAACATGGACCAAGTGCAATCTGACTACAAACTGAACGCAAGCTAACATAGACCGCGCCGGTAGAGGTCAACATAGCCCGGTGGAGGCTAACATGGATGGACCATGCCACACACCTCTAGGGCCTACCTGGTGCATCATTGGTTTTTCAACGTGCTCTTTGATTGACATTTTTCATTTTTTCACAGATTGCTTGAACCAGACTCCAAACATCAATGGAAGAAAGGAACTGAAGGAATATGACCAGCCAAGTAACTAAGAATTAAAGATTAAGTCGCTTATTTTTTCTCCTCTCCCCCTGTCTCTGTCTCTATTCCCTTAACCGGGGAGACACAGGGAGACAGAAAACATCAGAAAACTCAGAGACGTCAACAGTCACACCTCGAAGGGCCGCTCTGGGACCGACCTCTCAGGCCCCCCTCAGGTCTGACAGGTGTCGCGTTGCCTCAGGACGTCACCGGTGTCGGTCCCAGGGCGACACCTGTCAGACCTGAGGAGGAGTTCCCTGTGTCTCCCCGTAAAGGGAATAGACACAGAGACAGGGGGAAAGGAGAAAAAGTGCAAGAAGTAGTTAGTTAATTTCTAATTTTTGGACAGCTTCCTGGTCAAATTCCTTCAGTTCCTGCCTTTCCTTGATGCTTCAAGAGCTTGGAGGCAATTTCTTAAATATTTGCAGATGTCGAGTGAGGCATGTGGCTAACATAGACCACTTCCACTCTCAGTCCCTGGTCCACACTGACACAAACTTTCCACAAACCTGGGTCAGGCGTGTGGCTAACATGGACCGTCCCACTCTCAGTCTATGATCGATTTTGACACTAACACGGACCAACTGCAATCTGACGATAACCTGAACGCAGGCTAACATAGACCGCGCCGGTAGAGGTCAACATAGCCCGGTGGAGGCTAACATGGACCATGCCAAATACTCATATGGCCCACCATGGCACATCGGAATTTGGTCTAGGTTAGTCTCAACGGTGTCCGCTCCGAAACTAGACTAACATATGCCCATTTCTTGCGAACATGTTAGTTTTCACCGGTGTATATATTATATATGTGTATTAATTATATATTAGTATATTATGACAACTAAAGCCCCTGGTGCTTTTGGGGTCTCCAGCCAATCCGAACCCTCAGATCCTCTGGGAGTTGCACCGACGTTCGTCGAGGGCCGAGCTCAGCCGCACGATTTGACTTGGGGCGCGCCCCGTGAGTGGAACGAGGCCCGGTTCGGACATGGCAAGTGGAACGAGGCGCGGAGAGGGAGCAAGAGGATGGGTTAAGATCTGATGGATGTGATCACCATGTTAAGTAGATGGATATGTGTTTACCATGTTTTGCTCTTGTTGATGAATATGCAAATATATGCAAGGTGCTTTGTTCAGGGGCTTGGGCTTCTTCTTGGCTTTTTGTGCTAAGAGCCAAGGAAGAAGGACTTGTGCCAATGCGCTGTCATGGTTTGTCGTGCGGTGGTGCAATGTGGGTTTGTCTCACCCAAGAGTGGCCAAACATCTGGTGTCCATGCCGATGAGCAGCTTGCATGATCAACATACTTGAATTTAGAAATCAATAGATATATATAATATATATATATATATTGAAGGACACCCGCTCCTGTATTTGTTTGATGACTTGAGTCCTTGAAGCACAGCTCAAGCCAAATTGTGCGACATCTTTGTGGCTGTCATAACAAGGCAAATCAATGTCAGGGCAGGGTAAGGCCTAAGGAATCACAACAAGGGAGTCCATGACATCTTCACCTGCGAGATCCTGCGAGGCTAATGGGCCATGGTGCGTTTGCTTCATTGAAGTCATCTCCCATAAGATGTCAACAAAGCGTGAAAGACACGATACGTCAGCTTAAGAAGAAGGGAACACGATCACTTCAAATGCAGGCTGACCGAAGGCAACGGGCATGGGGCAGCTCACTTGGTCAGTCCATGCATCGACTGACGCGTGTACTCTGCGCACGACTGGAGCCGCAAACGCATGTCCACAATCTCGTCCTCACAGCAGCTCGAGCTACTAGTACCTATACATTAACATCACAGAACTCTTGGTTGAAGTTGCAAGTGAAAGGGAGTTGCCAAACAATAGCCTGTCAGATTTGAGCTGAATGTCCCACGTCCACTCAATAATCTACATTCTGATTTACGGTCCAAACAAAGAGGTAATGACGCTGGCCCTTGTTCCTTAAAGGTAAACGTGCGATCGAGTTCACATAAAGCCTGTGCACATGTCACATGCATACCAGTTGAGTGAATCTGTGTTGAGGCTACAGGTGAAATATTTCATGATCGATCCACCAGCAATACCACAATACCCCTATGGTCCACCGAGTTCCTTTCATCTTCTCTCCCAGCACCGTGCTCGCGCGTGCTCCTCCGCCGCGGAGACCAACTGCCGGAGCTGAGAGACCCGGGCGTCCTCGGCGCAGGGAGCCCCGCGACAAGAAGTGGCTCCGAGGTCCGAAAGAACTGGTGACTGGACCAAGCAAATCATTTCTGCGGAGCTTGCGTGGAGAGTTTGTTCTAAATGATTTGTGCCGAAAGACATTGGTGAGTCCCCCCCAAATCAATCACTGAGTTCCACATACTGTAGTTCGTTCCACCATGTGACCATGTGGTTCTGCCGGTAGGAGAGGGATGGGACACATTCCTGCCCTGCGCATACCTGCCGTCCTCGGGATCGTAACCAGCATCTGCATACTCCTGGCAGGGGGGTGGATGAGTCAAAACTTCAATCCTCGAGGGCCTTGACCTGTTACTGCACGTGGTACTAGTAGGACACTGATCTTATATGCCATCTTCAACGGTTGAGCCCAACCCGGCCTTCGAATGAGCCTGCAAAGAATCCTTGTAGTCCGGATTGATCTCGAACTGGCACGCGGTTGGGGCGTTGTGCTGTGACCTTCTCAAACGATGTAGGCTTTGGCACATGTGCTCCTGGTAGTCGGGGCAATGATTACAAGCACTTCAGCCCTGACAACGTGTTTGACCCGAATCTCCCTGACTTCGACTGCTTTAGCTGCTTTGTTGCTTGTCTCCAAGGGTCAGTCAGGACCGGCATGAGCGACTCAGTGGATCTAACTGCAGCGACTCAGTGGATCCGACTGCAGGACAGCCACTTGTGGCTTGGGCCATCACACCTTCTACAGTGGTCTGCCTTTGGTGCCGTTCTTTCAACAAAATGTTTCGGGCTGTTGATACATGTTGATATATGTTGATACCAAAAGAATTATAACTAGCTTACAGTAATTGTTTGCACTGGTATGTGTTCTATGGGGCTACAGGGTTACACATACATGCAACGTTTGGTCCATTTATCGTCGACATCAAAGGACATCATGCACACAAAACAAGTAGCTCAATTGAGGGTATCATCTTTTGGATACAAAATGGCTCAAAACCACAGTCTTGGGTGAAAAGCCCCCAGTATGATGTAAATGTAAATGACAATAATTATGCAAAACACTCAACCGACCAATATGGAGGCCTTGACTGAATCATCTGGTTCAACCAAGTGAAACGTCCAAAAAGAACAATCTGTAACATGTATACATATATAATATGTGTGATTATATGATATTATATGTGTGTGTCCCAGCCCAGTTGATCCAGGTCTATCCCAGCACAGCCAGGACGCCTGTTCAAAGTCCTTCAAGATAGGCTCGTTCTCCATGGTTTCTGCAATCTCCTGTGGGAACGGGAAACGAACCGGTTGCTGAAACCGGGATCCAAAGCACAGTCTGTTGTTGAAAGGTTTGGACTGGTCATTCATTTAGCAAGTAGGTGGATGGGTCGGTTAGTAGGTCGAAGCGACACAACAGCAAACGACAATGAGTCGCGAGGAAATCCACAGCGGATGTCCAGGTGCTGTGACACGTGTTCTCCTGGCCCGAGAACATGGCGCGTTCTCGCTCCTGGCGAGCGAGTAGAGGGTTGATTTAACAAAAGGTCCTACACATAATATGTCCATATATATGTCCCAATTGATTGCATAGATGTACTCACTCAGTGTCTAAAACCACACCTCCAAAGTTTGTTGTAACAACAAAAACTATCGATGTCCGTTCCTTTCACCTTACACTCAAGTTCTGTCGTGGTGACTCATCGAACCACCAGGGCAGTCGAATGCGACGGCATTGCTAAATATTCCCACTCTCAACAACAAAAACCACCACCACCACCACCACCACCAGCACCAGCACCAGCACCACAACAACAACAACCACAAGCACAAGCACAAGCACAACCACAAGATCCCCCTGGGAATAACCACGGGGGGTTGAGAACGCCATTCTATAGTGATAAATTGCTGAACCAACCTCTGGGAGCAAAATGCCCCACTATAGAATCTAGCTTTCAACCCTTGTAATGTACAGCATAGTTTCTCTATAGAATAAAGGGGGTCACCCTTGAAGGCACTAATGTAACAGAATCGTAGGCTCAAAATCTGAATTATCTATTTGAAACAGCCAGGGTTGGTTCTCATTCTATAGACAAGTGGGAGAAACAGCCAGGGTCGGTCCTCATTCTATAGACAAGTGGGTGTCGCATCAAGGCTGACATATCATTTTAGAGGAAAATTAGGCAGCAATGGCAAAAGAGGTTAGTATTCTATTTTATAGAAACATGATTGAACATTGCAAGGTTGAATTTCATTTTATAACAAGATTAGGCAGCAATGGCAAGAGAGGTTGGTATTCTATGTTATAGAAACATGATTGAACATTGCAAGGTTGAATTTCATTTTATAACAAGGTTGGACAGAAAATGACAATCCAAAAACAAGATATGTCTAAAGAGGTTGATATTCATTTTATAAGGACAGGGTTGGACACTCACAGGATGCTTTTTTCATTTTAGAAAGGTGAGCTGAATGTTGCACAAAAAAATCATTTTATAGTGGGCCAATATTCACCGGTTATTCCACAGGAATTCTGGGAATGCATGCACCAGATTACACAAGAATGCGCCGGATATTTCGTGAAATCAGCAGGTCACAGCAGCATCTTTTTTCCTCCCCTGCAGATTGCAATCGGTCTGATTGCAAGTCCCCTTGATTGATGCTACCAAGATCATCCAAGATCTATGATGCCTGTCTGTCAAGTGTCCATGGCTTCGCTATCATGACTCTTTTTTTTTCTCTGAGACTTAGTGGATTTGCGTGATCTTCTACAGTAAGGTTCCATGGCGTTCCATGATGTTTCGGTTCTTAGCCATCGCATGGTCCCGATGAACAAATTTCTCCACGCTCATATCATCTCAGGCAAATGATGGTGGCCTGCCATCAGAAGCACATCTGGACTGCAACAGGAACCAGCTGCCCCCAAAAAACTAAACAAACCTTGTCCACCCTGTCCTAACCTCCAGAAACTTGAAGCGCCTTGAAGGATGGTCACAGAATGCCATGGATGCATCTCCATGATCTCCTTGCACAGGATCATGAATCTGCCTTCATCAGATCTTCTTCTTTTTTTGGGGGGAGACTCCTGTGTGGATGCTGGTCACGCAACCAACAGCTGCAGAACGAGTTGCGATTAATTAAGGTGCCCTGAAAGATTTCACACAAATATAACACCTTATCATTGTTAGATGGCGGGTCCCTTAGGTGCCCCCCCCGTCCAGACCCCCTGGATAAATATAGAAAATAATCCACATAACCTCCAGTTAATTTTCAAAAATTAATCCAACAAGTGGACGACAATCAAATTAATTATATAAAATATATGAATCAACATTGATTTCACATCCATAATCCTTCAAGTAAATTGATGTTCCAGGAAGTTTGCCGAGGGAGACAGGATTAATTCATAGACTACAGGCCCAGGGAGAGGGGGGAGGCAGGAGTTCCTGCCAAGCTTAGGAAAGAAAGATAGACTCGTGTATAGAGCTTCCTGACAAACAGCGCAAAAGCGAGAGGCGCCAAGCAAGCAAGAAGGAGAGGTTTCCCTGTATCCTAGGCAGAGGACATAGATTTGTAGAAATCATGACCACCCAGGCTACTGTGAGGCTTCTGTGGTGGCCCTGACCATTTGGCAAATTAATCTGG